ATTGGATTATTCTCCTTTATCTTGCTGTGGTGCTTGAGTATTTTATAAATTCTAGATATAAGTCCCTTGTCTGACATGTCATTACCAAAAACTTTTTCCCAGTCTGTGGCTTCCCTTTCTTTCTTTCTTTTTTATGGAAGAGGTATAGAATAAATTTTATTCAAATATATTTGAATCTATAGCTTCCCTCTCCCTGTAAATTTCAGTTTATATTTCAGGTATATGAATCGAAAGCTCAAGTTTTGCTCCTTCCTCTCTTTCAAGTTGAAAATACCATTTTCGTAAAGTGTGCTGGTCCCACCTAATATTTGAACTCTGTGATTATTCTCCTGCTACTTATGTGGCTAGAGATTCAGCTCTTTCTTCAGACACAGGTGTCTGCAGGATCCCCAAGCAAAAGCTCAGCACCTTTCACTGAGAGCTGGGTGGGACTGACTGGGATAACTTTCTCCCACCACCCATTTCATTATTTCTATATGGGCACTCATTTCAACATTCTTTACATTTACAATTCAGTGGCATTAGTTACACGTTACACTTACCATGTTGTGCAACTGTAGCCATTGTCTCAGCCATCATTTTTCCTCAATAACCTTTTTGAGCACCTGCTTTGTGCTGGATCTCTCAGCCAGTGCCTGCCTCCCTGGAGCTCATAGAGACAGGACTTTTGTTCTGGGAACTTTGCTAACTTGCTTTTCTTGACCCACTTCTAGGAGTATAGTTTGTTGACTCAAGTATTTGGCACCTTGTTATAATTCAAAGTAGACTTTTTAAAAAAATGCACTTTGCTGAAAATCACACTCTTAGAAGTTCTCTCTAGGTTTTTTTTTTTTTTTTTTTTTTTAGTTTTCAAAATAATTAACTTCCTCTTAAGTTCACCTTTGAGTTTCTGCACCATGAAATAGAAGTCTGGGTCTTTGTTTTTCTTTTCTCCTATTCTCCTTCATGCTTGTGTGCCTGGAGGGTGGCTGTACAGAGCAGGAAGAGAGTGTGTTGGTGAAGTTTAAATGAAATCATGGTAAAGAGAAAGAAAAAAGAAAAAGATGCAAACACAGAACTCAAAGGAGTGGTTTGTTCTTCTAAGCGTAACTGGATTTTTTTACGTTCATCTTTTATTATCAAGCTTTATTGTGTTCTTGCCTTTTTAATTTTCAGATTGCCTTTACTGAATTTATCCTTTCATTGTTAAGGTGTACCATTATTACAGGAATTTTCATGTGTGCAAATCACCTAAAACTGACCAATAGATTTTAAAGTGTGACTATATTTCACTATACCCCTAATATGTAGAATTTAACTCTTTTGTTGTAAGGTACTGTTGAGTTGACTACAGCTCACAGTGATCTTACGAACAACAGATCTGCAGCTTGCCCTCTCCTCTGCCAGCCTCGCCCTATCTGATGTCTCCATAGTTAACGATCTCTGTGCCAGTACATCTTGGTGGAGGCATCTTTTCTCACTCTGACCCTCCATCGTTCTCAGCATGGTGTCTTTTCCCAGAGAGTGGCTCCTTCCAAAAACCTGCCCAAATTACGTGAGATGAAGTTTCACATTCATGGCTTTAAGGAGCACTCTGGTTGCACTTCCTCCAAGACCGACTTGTTTATTCTTTTTTGAAAGTCCATGGGCTAGTCAGTATTTTTCTCCAACACAATTTGAAGGCATCATTTTGTCTGTCATGCTTATTCATTATCCAGTTTTTAGATGCATAGGACACAATTAAAAATATGATGGTTTGGATCAGGTGCACCTTAGTCAAAAAGAACATTTTTTTAAAAATTAATTTTAATGAACATTTACAGAGATTTTGGATTTCCATTCATTCATTTTTGCACATTTCTCCCTGCCCACTCCTCCCCTCCCCAGTTTGCTCTTCTTAGTCAAAAAGAACATTTTAAGATTTATCCTGAAGTATAGTACTGTGAGTGGATAGGATGCTATCCATATGCATACAAGGAAAACCTATTAATACAACTATTTTTCAAATACATGCACCAACCACTAAAGCCAAAGATGAAGAAATGGAAGACTGCTACCAGCTCTTGCAGTCTGAAATTGATTGAACATGCAACCAAGATGCATTAAGTAAAAACTGGTGACTGCAGTGCAAAAGTTGGAAACAAAGATGAAAGATTGGTACTTGGAAGATACAGACTTGGTGACAGAATGAGGCTGATGGTCAAATGGTAGAATTTTATATAAACAATGATTTATTACAAAGGTTTTTTTTTAAAAAAAATAACTAACTATACACATGAACTTCACCTAATGGACTACTCAAGAATGAGATTGACTGGTACATAGCAGATACTCAATATAAGTTAAATGTTAATGTCACTCTAAGTCATCTATTTAACCAAACTAGCCAACCAGACAGTGGCAATTACATGTGACACAGCTTTTCAAAAAGAAAAAAAAACCACATCAAGAATCTTTTAAGCTTAAAGAATTGTGATATGAACTGTTTGCAGCAGGTATAATCTCTACATTTCAAGTTTTAATCTTTTGAAATTAAAGCATAATCCCTGTTAAGTATGTAAATATTTAAATTTTTTTTTAAAGGATTTGCTAGAATATTTGGATACCCAGTTGGTATCATTGGAAACAATGGAGTTCTGTTTTCTGAATCTGCAAAAAAGGTGAGTATTATTTTTCTCCCCTAAAAAGGGGGGGAGGAATCACAGTAAAAACTGTAATTTTAACAAGTTTGCAGAAAAGTTGGATTTATATTCAGTCATTGTTGCATATTTTCCTCTCTACTCCCCTCAGTTTACTTTTCTTAAAAAAAATATAAAAATTCATTCATTGTTGCATAAAACAGCATGTATTCTTACAAAAGGTTTTAAATTTTGTTTTGGTTTAACATTATTAATTTTGAAGATCAATTAATGAAGTAAAATTTGTTGCATAAAATAAAATGTTTAACCTGATGTCTTAGCAAATAAGGACTTTATGGGTGTGTAGTGTAGGTGTTACTGTTGGAAACAGTACTTGTAACTTACATTACCATCAAATATTGGGAACATTATTAAAATCAAATGTGCTGGTTTTGGAAAGGTTCTTATAAAATATGTGAGTTGGGATATCTGTGGTAGATAGTGGAATATTCTAAGACAGGAAGCATGTCTGGAGAGCTCTTTCTCGACTGCTTCTTGTGTGGAGGTATTTCAACATTCTCTTCAAGTGGTGCTGAGACACCATTTGTTTATTTTGTTTTATCCTGTTATCTCCAAAGAGCTTTTGCTTTTAAAGTTTTTTGTTTTAGTATTTGATTTTAGTCATCACTGTCTCAGATTTACCTACACTTGGGATAAATGTAATTAATTCACCTGATAAATGGTTTTCTTCTTTAAAAAAAATCTCTTCAAATTATAGCGTACAGTAAGGTGAGATATCATCATAGGGAATATATAGATTGTTAATGCCTTTTATGCTTTGAGGAAGAATTTTGTTTTGGAGAAATGTTTTGTAATGATACCATTGCTCTTCTCCTGAGGCAATGGGCTCAATTGTGTCAGGGAAGATAAGGATGGTATAGAATAGGACACAGTTCACATTTGTTGTTTGTAAATTTGCTATCAGTTGAACTTGATGGCACCTTACCACAGCAACTTTAATTCTAAAGCAAATTAAAGTAAAAATAATGGGAATTTTAAAGTATCATCTGTAATTAGAACAAACATTTTGATAAATTTGTTTATTTTTCCTATTCCTTGGTCATGTAAATAGCATTAAAGATACCCTGTGGTGGTGGTGTCATTATAATTTTTTTAAAAAGAAGAACTAAGAAAGATCTTCTAAGGTTCAGCAGTTCTCACTGGCAGGTGGTTCTTTCTTCTCTAATTAAATTTCACTTGCTATTAAGAATGTTAATAATTGACTTCATCTCCCTCGTGACGTTTGTCCTACGATTATGCACCAATGATTATACAGGTGACCATGTAAAGCAAGGACTGCATAACTGCAGTCACATGCCCTACTCAAGATGAATCACCACCAGTGTGGTGTTGTTACTGTTAATATAAAGTCAGACTAGCCAAGCCAACTGTATTCTTTCTGATACTTAACTCTGTTGCAGCATTTGTAGGACGTTTGTTGATTTTACATGTGATAACCCTTCTCTAAAAAGACTTTTATACTTTTATAGGGAGCTCACTTCGTCCAGTTGTGCTGCCAAAGAAATATTCCTCTGCTATTCCTTCAAAACATTACTGGTAAGAAGATGGCACGTGGGGCTGAGGAGGTGATAGCAGAAGACAGAGGGGACAAAGGAAACTAAGAATAAAAGAGTACTGGATGCTCATGTATTTGCAGAGTGCAGAGGAGACCAAAGCACCCAGGAGGGAGTGTGAGAAAGGCTGTTGGTTCAGGGTAGATGTGGTGACATGAAAGCCAAGCCAGGAATCAGTTTAAGTGGGAGGTCAAAAGTGTCAGATTGTTCCTACCGAAAGCAATCTGCATTTTTAAGCAATCCCAATACAGTTGCCAAGTTCATTTTTCAAAAAGCTAGAAAAGGCAATTGGCAAGTTATTTTGGAAAGGAAAGAGACCTTGAATAAACAAAACATTTCTGAAAAAGTGTCAAATTGTTCAGCTATGTCGTAGAAAAGAGAATTGATATTGTATCTTAGGACTTGGTAAACTTCGTTTTTGAAAAAAACCCAAAACTGTTCTAGTATGTATTGGGTACATTTAAATGTTTTTTTTTCTGGAGTGAGATTGAAAAGATTTTTATTTCTAAAAGTTGAAAATTGCATATGTCTTAGTAAATATCTAACCCCCCAATATACTTTATTTTAAATGAACGCTTTGGTTAACGTGGGCAGAAGCTCAACTGGTAATAGCCTGATAAATATTGTTTTCTTACAATTTTTAAAAAATGGTATACCTTACTTAAAGAATAAACCAGAAAATACAGTAATCAAATATAAACAGAAGTAAGAAAATAATGACACAAATATGCCTCTAATGGTCACCTTTAGATTATGCTAAAGTACATGTTTTTGGTGACCATTAGTAATAATTATCTGTACTGCCAACAGTTTGATAACAAGCCATGAAAATCTGAATGCTACATGGAATCATATTGATATAAATTGATAATGTAACAGGCATTGGTCATAGAGTTGCAGCATCTAATTCTACTTTGTTCCTCATCTAAAATAATGGACAGAAAACCCAAGTTATGGTCTCCGAATGCAGGTGACATTAAAGTGAATGTTTATCCTGTTTGAAAGTAATGCTTACTCATTAAAAGAAAGTTATAAAGATAGTAAAGGAGAAAGCAAATCCCCCTAAATCAAACCTATGTAACACTTTGGTATATCTTTGTCCAGTCTCTTTTTAGAAAAGAATTCATAGTGGCTGCTTAACATTTTATTCTTTTTCTCATGACATTTATAGCCTAAATCATCCTCCTTTTATTTTTGCTGTGGTACCTTGTTGTTTTGTGCCATTGACACATAAGACACATAAAACTTTTCCTCTTTTTCTAATACTGTGTTTTTCATAAGACACATAAAACTTTTCCTTTTTTTCTAATACTACATTTTTTGGAATGGATTCCAGAAAAGGATTGGTGGTATAAAAGATGCAAATATGTGGAAACCTGTACTATACACAGATTTTCCCCTGGCTTATGAGTGCCTGACATACAAGCCCTACTGGCCCTTTGCGTATCATCCTTGCACAAGGGCAATGCTGATCTCTGTATCATTCCAGTTTTCTAGCATATGTGCTGCTGAAGTGAGCACAAGCCCTATGGGCCCTTTAATGCAGGACTTTGAGCCAGTTCTGTCATGGCTGACAAAGTGAAACAGGAGCAGACCTGAATTTGTACTTGGGTACAAATGATTTGTCAAAGGAACTGAAATGGTAAAAATGACGGGTTGAAGCCCTGGAATGGGAGATTAGAGAGAGGTGTAATGAGTCCTTTCAGGAGCCTGCTATGTGAGATTGGACTACTGGCAAGTCCGAGCCAACTCATTTATTATAATCAACTTCGTTTGCTGCACATGCAGCTTTTTAATCATTGAAAAGGTTTTGAGCATTTCCTTGCACTAAGATAATGCTTGACCTTTCTGCCGGAACGGAGAAATGCATGAACACTGCATGGTTCAAAATTGGGAAGCGCGTACGCCAGGGATGCATCCTATCTCCATACCTTTTCAACCTATATGCAGAACAGATTATCCGGGAGGCTGGGCTCTATGAGGAGAAATGTGGGGTCAGGATTGGTGGACGATTTATCAACAATCTGCGTTATGCGGATGATACAACCCTGCTTGCTGAAACTGAGGAGGACCTGAAGCGCCTGCTGCAGAGTGTCAAGGACTGCAGCCTACAATGTGGATTGAGGCTCAATGTCAAGAAGACAAAGATTCTCACCACTGGACCAACTGGCAAGATCAGGATGGATGGTGAAGAGATTGAGATTGTACACAGCTTTAGTTTGCTTGGCTCCACAGTCAACAGTCTTGGCACCAGCAGCCCGGAAATTAAAAGGCACATTGCCATGGGAAAGTCTGCTGTTAGGGACCTCTCCAAAGTGCTGAAGAGCAGTGGTGTCTCTCTGGAGACTAAGGTGCGTCTGATACAGGCCATGGTCTTCGCAGTCACCTGTTATGCATCAGCGAGTTGGACAATGACCAAGGAGGATAGAAGGAGAATTGATGCCTTTGAGCTGTGGTGCTGGAGAAGAGTATTGAGAATACCATGGACTGCTAGGAAAACAAACAGATTTGTCCTGGAAAGGGTTAAACTGGGTGGCTCCTTGGAGGCAAGGATTCTGAGGCTCCGTCTAACTTACTTCGGACATGTTGTGAGGAGAGACCGGTCCTTAGAGAGGGACATCATACTTGGGAAGGTGGAGGGATGGCGCAGGAGAGGAAGGCCCTCTATGAGGTGGATTGATTCAGTGACTGGGATAATTGGGATGGGAGTGTCAGAGACAGTGCGATTGGCACAGGACAGAGTGGAGTTTAGGGCTGTTGTACATAGGGTCACTATGAGTCGCAGGCGACTCGACGGCACATAACAACAACAACAACAACAACATTAAAGGCTACTAAGTTACACATTGTGTTTTGAAGATACCTGGACTTTTATTTTGCTTTGCTCTTTTGACTGAATGGGGGCATAGATTGAATTTCATTTTGCAGTGATAAACTTGAGGGACCTGTGGAACATATCCTATTGAAGATACACAGTAAGCAATTGACTGCATTTTAAATTCAAATGAGGTATTTTTCTTGGAGGTGTTTCATCTTAATGTGGAGATGGTATTTAAAGCCATGGGATTAAGTAAGAACTTCTAGGACAGAAGAGAAGAGGCCTCAGGCTTAGTGGCAAGAAGCTGCTCTGCGATCCTGAAGGCTTGCAGTTCGAGGCCACCAGCTGCTCTGTGGGAGACAGATGGGCAGTCTCCTCCTGTGTGATTAACAGCCTCTGAAAACCCACTGAGTATGAATCGGTTCTGACTCACCAGTACACAGCAGTTTCTTCCACAGAGATAAAAGTAAAGGAAGAAAGGAAGCATGATTTTATAGACTTTTTAAAGGTCGAAAGTAAAATGAGATGATTTTAAGTTTCTTTTTGAAGTAAGACTCATCCATAGGAATAGAAAGGGGGCGGTGGTGTTATGTACCATCAATTCACTTGCGACTCATAGCGACCCTGTGTACAGTAGCCCTGAGCCCTGCTCTCTGCTGTGCCAACCTTATTGTCTTTGACACACCTACTCTCATTACCCCAGTCATTGAATCAATCTATCTCATTGAGTGTCTTCCTCTCTTGAGCTGTCCCTCCACCCTCCAAAGCATGACATCCCTCTCTAAGGACTGATCCTGCCTTTCAACATGTCCAAAGCATGTCATACAAAGCCTCAGAATCTTGCCTGCAAGGAACAACTTGGTTTCATCCTCTCCAGGGTGAACCTGTTTGTTCTCATGGCAGTTCTTGTTATATTCAGTACTCTTCCCCAGCACTAGAGCTCATAGGCATCAACTCTATATCCCTAGTCGTTGTCCAGCTTTCTGATGCATAGCAAGTAATTGTGAAGACTACGGCCTCAATCAGGTGCACTTTAGTCTCTAGACTGACATCATTGCTCTTCAGTACTCTGGAGAAGTCCCTGACAGCAGACTTTCCCAATGTATTCCATCATTTGATTTCCTGACTGCAAGTACCAACAGCATTGATTGTGGAGCCAAGCACACTAAAGCTGTCAAAAATCTCAATCTCTTCACCATCTATCATAATGCTGCCAATTGACCCAGTGGTGAGGGTTAAGGGGACTGTAAGAGAGAGTTGACATTTGAGACGACTGTTGCTGAAATGACACAGGGATCAGCAGTGAGATAGATAAGGTGGTTTCTAGGCTTTTCTGGACTGTTGCTAAAACAAGGAGCTGGAGGAAAGCAAATGATGCTCTTTGAAGGCAAAGACCATTGTTGTCATTGACTTAATACTGGTGATGTTATAGCAAGGAGAGTGGTGATCAAGTGGGCAAGTGAGCCCACGGTTCATGGATGACATGCCTTATTGGAGGCTGACCTGTCTTACTGGAGGCAGGGTTGAGTGGGGACACACGTGAACTCAGTCTTGGTGTTCGGAGGCAGAAGAAACAGAGTTCACAGTGAAGTTTCAGAACAGTTTCAGAGCTGAGGAGTTTAAGAAGTAGAGGGCTCTTGTAACTATATAATGAGATTTTTAATCTTGCTATTGAGTTTCTAGAAGGAACTCTTAACATCTCTATAAAACATTAATCTTCATTTCATCAAAGTTTTAAAGCCAAACTTCAGAAGGAACAGTCCCATGTTTTTAAACCAGGTCAGTGCATACAGTTGGCCTTGTCATTGTATTTTTTTCCCCTTAACTTGCCATGTCACATTCTTTCATTGTCAAACAACTGGTTTTAAAATAGTTTCTTAAAGACAAATTGCATCACTATAAATTTTATGTGTAGCAGGTGAAATTGTTTTAAGAAGGTTTAAAAAGTGACTAGATAAACTTTTCTTTGAACTTTTAAAACAAAATTTCTTGGAGAGTATATTTCATATACAAATTAGTTGATGGCAAGATGCACTTGCAGTACCTAGGGAGGAAGAACATTAATCTCATCACCCACAAGCTCTGTTTCTGTTCTTTCTCTTAGGATTCATGGTTGGTAAAGATTATGAAGCTGAAGGAATTGCCAAAGATGGTGCCAAGATGGTGGCTGCTGTAGCCTGTGCCAAGGTGCCCAAGTTAACTGTTATCATCGGTGGCTCCTATGGGGCTGGAAACTATGGGATGTGTGGCAGAGCGTATAGGTAGGTGGTGGGCATGATTTATCTGAAATATACTTCAGATCTAACTGTAAGTGATCAGTTTCTTTTCAGTTTATTTAAAATATATGGTGACATTCACAAACCTTCATTAATAATACCATAGTGTGCCTCATGGCAAGAGGTGTGATTCTTAAGAATACAATATGGAAGTGGTTTATAATGGGAATAAGGGAAGATACTAAAAAATACCATGCTCAGTTTGTCGCACCATAATGGCTTGTCTGTTGCTATGATGTTGGAAGCTGTACTAACGGGGTTTAAGTCCCAGCAGGACCACACATAGTGAACAGATTTCAGTGGAGCTTCCACATGATGGATTAGAAGGAAAGACCTAGTGATATACTTGTGAAAGTTAGTTAATGAAAACCTGGTGGCTTACAACGGAACAGTACTCTGCTCTCTTGCTTTGAACATGCCATCACATCAGAAGGGAGTTGCTAGAGGAAGATGTCCTGTTTGGTGACATAGAGGGCCAGTGAGGATGAGGGAGATCATTGGTGAGATGGATTAGTGCAGAAGCAGCAGGTGGACTCAAATATATTGATGATTATTAGAGTGATGCAGGCCTGAACAGCATTTCATTTTCTTGTATGTAACATCACTGTCAGATTCAGTGGCAGCCGTCTGACAGTGAAAGTTCTGTGATGGAGCTGAAGTCTTGCTTTAAGAGATGTTTATAGTTTTACTTAAAAAAAAAGATGTTTGTAGTTTTAAATGTATATGCTAGATAAGAAGAAAGGATGATAAGCAAAAAACGTAAGCTTCCAGCTCAGGAAGATGGAAAGAGAACAATATATTAAACAAGAGGACAATAGGAAGAAAAACAAACAAAAGAGTAAATGTGCAATAGAAAACTCAATAAGGCCAAAAGTTGGCTTGATTGAACAGGTTAATTAAATTGATAACCCCTGGCAAGAAAGTAGAGAAGGCACATCTAACTGACACATGAAATGGGAAATAGGACATGATCATTGATAATGAGAAGATATCAATACCTTATGCCTTGTACCTTTAGATGAAATTAATAAAAACTGTTTATCAGGGTAGACAAAAGCAGCAACTGAAAATGTAAATTGTTATGTACCATCATGTTGGAACCGACTCATAGCTGACCCTCCAGCATAATATCAGAGGCAGTAAGTTGCACAGAGGAGACTGTCCATCTTGTTCCCGGGGAGCAGTTGATAGCTTAGAACTGTGTGCCTTTGGATTGGCTGCACAGCTTTTTATCATTAGGCCACCAGAGCTCCTTCGTGAAATTTTTAGTCTTATGACTATTAAACAAATTACATATCCATTAAAATACTCTTTACTATGCATCTGTATATTAAAAGAATTACATCTGTAGTGAAAAATTTAACTGCAGTGACAACTCTGGACCAAGATAATGTCAATTCTATTAAACATTTCTGTTGTTGATGTTAGGTGTCATTGAGAAGTTTAACAAACTGGTTACTGAAAACGTTTTAAGCTTGAATTTAAATAGGAGTTAGGTGCTATTGAGTTGAGTATGACTCGAGTAATCGTATGAACAACAGATCTGAACCCTGTCCTATCCTGTGCCATCCTTAAAATCTCTGACACACTTGAGCCTATTGCTGCAGTCACTGTTTCAATCCAGTTGGTCAAGAGTCTTCCTCTCTTTTGCCATCCCTCCAACTTCCCAAGCATGATGTCCCTCTCCAATGAATAGCCTCTCCGGGCAACATGTCCATAGTATGTGAGATGAAGTTTTCTTATCTTTGCCTCCAAGGAGCACTCTGGCTGCATGTTCTCCAAAATATATCTTTTTGTTCTTTTGACAATCCATGGGATATTCATTGCTCTTTTCCAACACCACGGTTCAAAGGTATCAGTTTTTCTCCTTTCATCCTTACTCACTGTCCAGCTCTCAGATGCATAACAAGTGATTAAAAAGACCATGGCCTGAATAAGGTGCCCCTTAATCCTCAAACTAACATCATTGCTCCTCAATAATTTGGAGAGGTTCCTGACTGCAGACATTCTAGAAGAAATAAAATCATCCTTACAGAAAAGTAAAAAAAAAAAGAGAGAGAAAGTATTTCCTAATTTATTATTTTTTTTTTTGCTTATATAACCTTGACAGCAACCTAACAAGGACCTTTACAAGAAAAGAAAATGACAAGCTAATTTCATTCATGATACAGATTCAAAAACACGCTAAACAAGCAGCGTGTGAAAAGGTTCACACAGAATAACCATATTGGTTTTATATTAGAGATATAAGATTGATTGAAAAATGAGTATAATTCAGTAAATTAAATTAATAAAGTGAAAAAAGTTATATAATCACCTCAAAAACTACAGACAAAATTATGATGAAATTAAATAGGTACTTATGATAAAAACACTTTGTAAACTAGGACAAAAAAAGAATGCAGATATCATGTTTAATGATGAGATATTAAAAATTTTTTTCTGATACTGGGAATAAGGAAATCAGGATGAGTGTGTCGGAGACAATGAGATTGGCAAAGGACAAAACAGAGTTTAGGGCTGTTGTACATAGGGTCGCTAGGAGTTGCAAGTGACTCAATGGCACATAACAACAACATACAGAAATTATATTCTTCCCAGATTGATCTTTCAGTTTGATACATATCGAGCTTAATATGATCCTAAACAAAATAGTAATGATTTTGTTTTTAAAAATCTTTTAAGGTTAAGATTTAAGCTGTTTTAAGGGGTTAAACAGATATGAAGATGGGGAAAGGGAAATATTTGCTCTCTTACATATCAAGACATAATAAAATAACAGTATTGAAAACATTAGATATGTGCTATCTTTGTACAAGCAAGGTAGTGGGTAAGTGGATGAGAATTGTGAAGGAGACATAAATAAATGTATGTATGTACTCAGATTCATAGTTAGGATAGGTCAGGGTTCAGAGGTGTTGTGCATAGGCTTGCTGTGAGTTCAGTTGACTTAAAAGGCACATAACAACAACAGCATTGGTATATGATTAATGACAGAATTGGTGCTGAAGGGCAATGGAGGAAGGATGTCTTCTTAATAAATGGTGCCAGCCAATCAAAGTTCTTCATGAAAACACGTAAAAATTTATCTCCACACCACACACAAAAGTCAGCCCTAAGTGGTTTGCGAACATAATTGTGAAAGGCATGTCTGGCAAATATTTTAGAATATAGGACTAGAGAAAGAGTTTTGGTTTGGTGTTTTATTTTGATTTTTTTTTGTATCATGTCCCTCTGCAAGGAATAGCCCCTCCTATCAATATGCCTGAAGTATGTGTAGTGAAGCCTCAACATCCTTGCCTCCAAAGAGCATTCTGGCTGTATTCTCTCCAAAACATATTTGTTTGTTCTTTTGGCTATCCATGAGATGTTCGGTGCTCTTCTCCAGTGCCACAGTTTAAAGGCATCAGTTTTTCTTCTACAATCTCTATTTATTGTTCAGCTCTCAGATGCATAGCAAGTGATTGAAAAGACCATGGCTTGACTCAGACACACCTTAGACCTCAAACAGACATCATTACTTCTCAGTAATTGGAGAAGTCTCTGACTGCAGATTTTCCCAGTGCACTACATCTCCTGATTTCCTGACCGCTGGGACCAAGGGTGTTAATTGTGAATGTAAGTAAGATGAAGTTGTTGACAGTTTCAATCTTTTCTCCATCCATCATGCTGGTTGCCTATTGGTCCAGTTGGTAAGAATCTTTGTTTTCTTGACATTGAAATGCAATCCAGACTGAAGGCTGCATTTATTATCTTCTGCAAGTGCTTCAAATCCTCCTCACTTTTAGTAGGCAAGGTTGTGTCATATGCATAACACAGGTTATTGGTGAATCTTCACCCAATCCGGATGCCACAATCCTCTTCATAAGGTCCACCTTCTTGGATAATTTGCTCAGCATACAGATTGAATAGGCATGGAGAAGGAATACACTCTTGTATAAGTATGGAGAGAGAATACAACCCTGACATGCTCCCTTAATTCGAACCATGCATTGTTTACCTGCTCTGTTCACACAATAGATGAATTTCAAGATCATGTTAGGCATAGGTTTGAGGCATTGAACTCCAGTGTTTGAAGACCAGATGAGTTGGAGGATGAGACCAAGGATATCATCCATGAAGAGAGAAAAAGACAAAGACTGAGGAGAAAGAAGAAACCAAAAAGGATGTTAGAAGAAACTCTGAAAATTGCACTAGAATGCTGAGAATCCAAAACAGAAGGAAAACATGCTGAAGCAAAAGAGCCGATAGAAGATTTCAAAGGATAGCTCGAGAAGACAAAGTATTATAATAGAAATGTGCAGAGAGCTGGAATTGGAGAATAAAAAGGGAAGAACTTCGCTCTGCATTTCTCAAGTTGATAGAACTGAAAAAGCATCATTAAGATAGTGAAAAAAAGACAAAATCTATAGATTCCTAAAACTTGAACTTATAACTAACTGATAAAGATTTGTATCCTTACAACCCAGTAAAGCAAAGTGATAAAACATGTGAACAATGTGAATGAAACAAAGTGTGAAATACAGTGTATGCAAATTTTATACGCAAACCAGTATAAAACAAAATTTTTTAAAAAACCCCAAGTGAACAGATATTTCACAAAAGGTATCCAGCTGGCCAATATATATATGAAACGTCATGTTACACTCTGAATGGTGTTGTCATGTGTCACTGAGTCTGAACCCACTTACAGCTGATCCTCTAGCAGGTTTTTCAGAGCTTGAAAATCACACAGGAGGAAATGGTTCATCTCTCCTGTGGGGCAACTGGTGCATTTAAACTGCCTGCCTTTGGGTTGACCTTGCAACTCTTTATCCTCTACGCTATCAGAGCTTGGAAATGCACATTAATACCACTTTGAGAAAACACTGCACACTTATCAAAGGCTTAAAATAGAAAAGATTGGACTTTTAAGGATGTGAATTTTTTTATGCAGTGCTGACAGTAGTAAATGGATGTTATGTCTAGTTCTTGTTATGTGCTGT